TCATAACTGTGACATCGAATTGATAAGAACCATTCGTTTTGTATTACGAAAGTTAAAGCGTTTTTTCGTTTACGCTCGTGTGGCTCAATTTGATCGCAAACACGAAACGATTTATTTTCATAGGCACGTACGTACACGTTGCATCGATATAGCATATTGAACACGTCGCGAGATTCTCTCTATTCTCTTGCATCTTTGTAAAATTAATAATCTTAATGAAAAAATTCGGAAATCAAATTGATACTGAATATAATACGAGTGATAATTAGAAATCGATGTATTTCTATGATGAAAATTGTCAGTAGAAATATTCTATTAATAATTAAATACTCTATATAAGTATTCATTTTTATTTTTGATATTATAATCTCTGGAAACGGTAAATGATTGAATTGAAATCGAACGGTTTGAGCTCCCCGTCGACCAAAGAAAAAAAAAACGTTCAATGTAATAAGATATACATATAGGAATAAAATGACCGACCAAAGTGTACCTGACTGCGTCATTGCTAAACATACGACAGTGAATCAAATTTAAACCGGAATTATTTTTATACCCGCAGTTAGGTGAACGGAGAGAGGCCAGGCTTCCAAGCGTTATAGGTGGAGATGCCTGAAGGAGATTCCCCCCTACGCGACCTTTCATTAGCGCTCCGTTAATCAGTATCACAATATCAAAGCGAGTGGTGCCCTCGTCTGTTGTACAACAAATTATTATTAAATTTCTCAGTGCAGAAGGCGTAAAACCGTCGGTCATATTGAGAAAGCTTGAAGCACCGTTCGGGGACAATACGCTTAAAAAGACTCAAGTGTACAAGTGGTACAAACAATTTTTAGAAGGACGAGAATCTATTGAAAATGAGGGGCATCGACGTCGCCCGAGGACCAGAGTAACAGAAGAGAATATTCGCCTGGTTGGCAGCCTTATCGAGGGTGACCGTCGATTAACGGTCGCTGAAATTGCTTCTGTTGTCAGAATAAGCTTCGGGAGCGTTCAAGCAATCATTACTGACGACCTTGGGTTTCGAAATGTGTCCGCCAGATGGGTCCCTCGTCTTCTCACCGAAAATCAGAAACGGCACTGTTTGAAGGTGTGCGAATGGCTTTTGACACGCTCTCAGGCTGAAGGGGAAGCTTTTTTGTACCGAATTGTGACTTGCGACGAAACATGGGTGCACCACTACACCCCAGAATCTAAAGAAGCCAGTATGGAATGGCGAAAGAAAAGTGAATCTGCACTCATCAAAGTCAAAACTCGGCTCTCAGCTGGAAAAGTTCTTGCAACTGTATTTTTGGACTTTAAAGGTATTTTACACGTCAATTTTCTTTACGTCGTACTGTGAACGCAGCATACTACTGCCAACTTTTGAACGAAGCAAAACGCGAATATCGTCGGAAAAGACGCGGATTTCTAATCCGAGACGTTATCCTGCTTCAAGGAGGAAGAGAAAGAAGAAAGAACTACTGATATTTATAATAATTCCAAAACGAGTAAAAGTATCTTTATTGAGATCGCGGACTACGAGAAACGAGTTCAACACATTTTCGTCAATACTTATATCCCAAAAAGATGATCTGTTTAATTTTTCTTACATGGTCGCGGCGGCAGCTACCTTGGCTGAACGTTCAATTTATCGGGCAAGCCGAACAAGGTCGTCGATATATATGAGTCATCTTTAAAAGTCGAGTTTCACCAGATATCTGTGATTACCTCCATCTCGAGCGACATGGTACGTCTCTCTTTAGTGAAGCACCGAGTTTCACTCGGTGTGAGAATATACAAGGGTGGATCAAATATAAAGAGCCTTTTTAAATTGCTCACCCATCGGTGGCGTGAGGGGTCTGCATTGTTTTGGACAGTGGAAGGTGGTCCTGTGGAAGCCTGTAATAACGTTGGCGCGCCACGTGCTTGTTACTCTCAGCAGCAATCACGATGAGCAAGAAAAAGGTACATCCCGCCGTTGCACAACGTGTTATTATTAAGTTTCTCGTCAACGAAAATGTAAATGCTGCTGAAATTCGGCGCCGTTTATTTCCACAGTTCGGGGAAGGAATCCTTTCATCGGCTCGGGTGAAGCAGTGTTGTAACGAATTTAAAAAAGGACGGGAGCGTGTTGAAATCATTGCCCACCCTTGCCGTCTACGCACAAGCATCACAGCGCAGAACACCGAGGCTGTTAGAGAACTCTTCGAAGGCGAAAGGCATTTAACTGTTCTTGAAATCTCTCAGGGACTTCAATTCGAGCTGTTT